AATGTTTTGTTAAACATAAATAATTAATTAAATTAAAATGTGAAATTTAGGGCTCGATCAACGGTAGAGAGGATGGCTTTGGGAAATACTAAAAAATAAAGTGGCGAGGAGCTGGTTAGATACAGAGAGATGAAAAAAGTAAGAAAATAACGGTTCAACCTGAGAGAGGGGTAGCCGCCCTGAAGGAAGGAGGGTCTGGACGAGAAGAGGGTTTGCGGGTAAAAGGGTGTTTCCATGGGACATGCTGAAGCTTACACGTCAAATAGCCTCCAGGTGGCGCTGTTCAGCAAGCGAGGAAACTGGAACTGGGGCGGGGCCCACAGGCAATGGCTAAGGTTAGAGATTGTACATACAGGAAGAAGCTGTCACCGCGGGAATATGATAAAACTAGAGGAGACACTGGCGAGTCTCCATGTAAGAAACATTCAAACCTAGGGAGAATTTTTATGAGTTTATCTGAGCCAAACTGTCCACAGGTGCTGGGAAGATTATCATTGGATTGAGATAATGGTAGTTTTGCACTTTATTTTATTTTAATATATTTTATTGATTTTTTACAGAGAGGAAGGGAGAGGGACAGAGAGCTACAATAGAAACATCAATAAGAAACATCGGCCAGCTGCCTCTTGCACACCCCCTACTGGGGACGTGCTCGCAACCAATGTGCATGCCCTTGATCAGAATTAAATCTGGGACCTTTCAGTCTGCAGGCCAACACTCTATCCACTGAGCCAAACCAGTTTTGGCTGCACCTTATTTTATACACTACAGGCCGGGTGCACGGATTCATGCACAGGTGGGGTCCTTCAGCCTGGCCAGCGCCTACTTGCAATCTGGGACCCCTCAGGGGCCATCCTCCTCCCCCGGGGATGTAGCCGGCGGCGAGGGAGGAGCCCAGCTGCTGCTCACCCAGCCCTGTTGTGCCTGCCGCAGCCGCCCAGGAGAGGCTCCTGCTGCTGCCACAGCTGCACTCGCCAGCGGTGATCCCGGCTTCTGGCTGAGCAGTGCTCCAGCTGTGGGAGCGCACTCACCACCAGAAGGCACCTCCTGCATTGAGTGTCTGCCCCCTGGTGGTCAGTGTGCGTCATAATGACCAGTCGACCAGTCCTTCTGGTCATTCGGTCGTAATGGTCACGTAGGCTTTTATAGAGAGAGATTACAATCAGAAGAGACATATGTGGATTACATGAAATCTAAAGATGACAGATAGGGAGGTGGGAGAAATCGAGGGGGGGGCAAAACGATAGACACATATTCTTTTACGTGGGTTCCTACAGGATAGTTAACGATCAATAATTAACATGGCAGACATAACAGTGAGAGGTCCCTGCCTGGGTGATTTGGCTGTGCCTGAAGCGTCTAGAAAAGGGGGAGTCACCCTGGCGATCCAGAGGAATGTTATCGTAGATGCAAAAGACAACAGACAGGCTTGGTTAAGGTAAAGACGACCTTTGTCAGGGAAGATTCTAGCTTAGGACAGGACTACCTGCCATAAACAGCTTTTAGTTAAAAAGTTTTCACTTCAGATCATCCTTTGTGGTTCCTTTAGGTCTCCCGAGTTTGCAAGACCAACAAGCCGGCCTTCCCCGAGCTTGTCAGGTTTAGGATGTGTCCCATTAATCCACAGGAGAAGGCTGGTGAGGACAGCCGGGGAAGGAGTTAGCAGGCAGAGCGAACCATGGAGATTTCAGAGAGGGCGGCAGCCGAAGAACGCCTGCTCCAGAGGGGAGGTGTCTGGCCGTTGCTAATCTCTAATACATAAAGAAGTGTCCCGAGATACTTCTATCACAGAGGTTTTTTGGATTGAGAAAAAAAAATGGCCATTAAATTAAAAGTTATAAATGGTTACATGCGTTCTGGCCCCTATTCCCTCACTGTTGCTGCTTTCTCAGTTGTGCTAGCTGGTTGTGGAAATGGGAATGGGTGTTACCCTGGGCAAATTCCCCACTGGCCTCCCCCATGACCTTGACATCACGAACAGATAAGAACTGGTGGGACACTTCCTCTAGGTCGATCTAAGAGGACAGAGGTAAGCCAAATGGCAGCTGTTAGAAAGACTCAAGCAGTGCAGTGAGCTGTGAGAGGGTGAACTACGTGACGGGGAAAATGATTCTTCCAGGTTCTTCTGACTCCATGGCTCAGTGCGCTTCTGCTTTTCCCGTTAAATTTAGTTCAGACTCTCAACCTCATATGGTCGCTGTGAGAATGGTTGGAGATAAAGTGCATATCAGCGCCTAGCCCAGGATATATAAGCTGAATATGCCCATACATATATAAGCTGAACAAGCATCTATAAATGCAGAAATCCCAGTCGTCTCCAAGGAAGTCCCAGCCTCGGCCACTAGAGGGCAGTCTCAGCCACACGCCTGAGGGGGAGGAAGGCACGGCGTGAGGCGGCAGGACCAGCCTTTCCTCAGGAGGAAACTCACTCCCACTCAGGAAACATGGCTCCATGCTGAACTCCACGGAGTTTCTCTGAGTCACCATATTCTCCTGAAGTTGCAAAATGGTCTAGCAAAAGTCCCTCAAAGGCTTTTACTGCTTCCTGAGTAACATCGAAACTTGCCAGGATCCAAGGCCTTCCCCAACCCGGCCTCAACCCACCTGCCCAGCCCGAACTCCCCTTAACCCTCTGCACTGCATCGCACTGGACACCTGTGCTCTGGCCTCTGCCCGACTCTGCTGCTCCTTCTTCCTTTCTTTTTTTAATATATCTTATTGATTTCTTACAGAGAGGAAGGGAGAGGGATAGAGAGCTAGAAACATGGATGAGAGAGAACACATCGACCAGCTCCCTCCCACACATCCCCTACCAGGGATGTGCCCGCAACCAAGGTACATGCCCTTGACTGGAATCGAACCTGGGACCCTTCAGTCCGCAGGCAGACGCTCTATCCACTGAGCCAAACCAGTTAGGGCTGTTCCTTCTTCTTGATGCCTTTCCCCTACCTCGACCTTCTGAAACCCCACTTCCTTTTCAATGACGCCAATGCCACCTCCTCCACGGCTCCCTCCTCACTTCTCTAGAGTGACCTCACCCACCCCCAGCTCACTCACACGCCCGATGTTACATCCACGCTTCCGGTATTAAATTGATTTATGTAAGTGCATCTTTTCGATAGGTTATAAACTCCACGAGGAGAGAGGCAGTGGGCAGTCTACCCAGGGTAACTCGGTGAGTAAGTGGCGAAGATGGGGCTCTAACCTGGGCACCCTGGCTCCAGAGAGCCCTGGCTCCTAACCACTAATCCACACGGTACCTTTCCTCAGCCAGAGCGCCTCGCTCAGAGCCACTCCACAGCTTCCCAACCTTGTGAACCACTGGTCTAAGGAGCACCTCAAGGGACGGTGCTGACTTGTGGGCTGTTGGGAGCCAGCCACTCGGTCTCATTAATCTGAACTAGAGTGCCCGGTCATAGATCCAATTATGAGCAATTTCAGAATCATAATCACTGTTCTACTTTGTGTCTTGATCTATTGTATAATACATATAAGGACCTCCTCCCAGCTTTTAAGGAAGAAAAAAACAAAGTGGTTACTTAATGAAGGCCAGCAAATGTGTTTTTCCGAAGCTTCCAGCGCCCACCTTCACACACACACACACACACACACACACACACACACACCCCGCCCCGAATCTGCGTGTCATCCTTGCGCAGGGCCTGCTCGCCCTCTCTGTGGTTCCAGTGTGGGTACCTGCGCTGCGGGCTCCACTGCGGAGTGAAGGGGATGGACTGGCCGGGCTGTCTCCGGTCACCGCTGTCTCTGGGGACAGGATGGAATTAAAAAGGGCCCTGCCTCTGTGTCAGAAGATATCATGTTGAGTCCCAGCCGGTTTGGCTCAGTGGATAGTGTTGGCCTGCAAACTGAAAGGTCCCAGGTTCAACTCCGGTCAAGGGCGCATGCCCGGTTGTGGGTTCTATTCCCAGGGAGGGACTTACAGGAGGCAGCCGACCCACCATGATGCTCTTTCATCATGGATGTTTCTAGCTCTCTCTCCCTCTTCCTTCCTCTCTGAAATCAATAAAAAAATATATTTAAAAAAAGAAGAAGATATCATGTTGAGTCTCAGCTCCCCAGCTCCCCCATCTGCAAACCCTGAGAACAAGACAGGCTCGGCCCCACTCTGACCCCGAGTGGAGGAGCTGTCTGAAGAAACTGAAGTGGTCAAATAAGTGCGCTGCCAAGTCTGGTACAGAGCCAAAAGGTGCTGACCCTAAGGGGCCTGGGGGGGGGGGAGAGGAGGGGGGGGTAAAAGAGAGGATGGGGGAGACTTGGGGTGTGAACACACCACACGACAGACCGCTGATGTATACTATAGGATTGTACCCTGAAATCTACGTAATTGTAACCAATGTCACCCCGATAAATTCAACAAAAGAGACATGCTGACAGGATTTCAGTTTTGCAAACTCCAGTGACCACAGAAGTGTAGCCTGTTTTGCTGTGTTTGAGAGAAGCCTCGTGGTGTGGACTGAGCAAACCCGGCCACCCTGCAGGCAGCGTCCGGCCTCTCCCCCTCCCGGGCCCGGAGCGGCGGGCTGGGGGTGTCCTCTCCCCCTCCGGGCCCGGAGCGGCGGGCTGGGGGTGTCCTCTCCCCCTCCCGGGCCCGGAGCGGCGGGCTGGGGGTGTCCTCTCCCCGTCCCGGGCCCGGAGCGGCGGGCTGGGGGTGTCCTCGGCCTCTCCCCCTCCGGGCCCGGAGCGGCGGGCTGGGGGTGTCCTCGGCCTCTCCCCCTCCGGGCCCGGAGCGGCGGGCTGGGGGTGTCCTCGGCCTCTCCCCCTCCCGGAGCGGCGGGCTGGGGGTGTCCTCGGCCTCTCCCCCTCCCGGGCCCGGAGCGGCGGGCTGCGCGGGGCGGGGCGCCAGCGGCCGGGCAGCCGCCGGGGAAGCGCCGCGCGCGCCCGGGGCCACGTGACGGCGGGGCCGGCCGCGCGCTCCGGGCCCGGCGGGAAGGGGCGGGGCGGGCGGGGCGGGCGGGGCGCGGGGACCGGGCGGCGGCAGGGGCGGGGCGGCGCGGCGGCGGCGGAGGGAGGAGTGGAGATGGCGGCGGCGGCGGCTCCGGGGGGCGGGGGCGGGGAGCCCCGGGGAGCCGAGGGGGTCGGCCCGGGGGGCGCGGGGGACGTGGAGGTGGTGAAGGGGCAGCCGTTCGACGTGGGCCCGCGCTACTCGCAGCTGCAGTACATCGGCGAGGGCGCCTACGGCATGGTCAGGTGAGGGGGCCGGAGGGGTGCGGCGGGGCGGGGTGCGGGGTGCAGGCCGGGGTCCTGGGTGCTGGGTGCTCGGTGCTCTGCGCCTGGCGATCCGGGGCGCGGCCGGGCAGGGGGCGCCCCGGGAGGGGCCTGGGGTGCGTGCGTCCGAGGAGGGGCTCGGAGCCTGGACCGGCCTTTCCGTGGCGAAGGGCGGGGACCTGGGTGTGGGGAGCTGCGGGGACCGGGCACCCTGTGGGCGCGGGTGAGGGAGGAGAACGGGGTCTCGGGACGGTGCCCCCGGAGTGCAGAGGGAGTGAGGATCCTGGGGAGGATGCCTGGGGTCCCCGGGGGACCGCCCGGAGCTGGGGAAGCCGAGCAGCCAGGACTGGGGTGCTGGGGCTGGTCCAGGGCGCCTCCTGCAACTTCCAGGAGGGGCTTCGGTCCCCCCTCCCTCGGTGGGTGCTGGGCTTTGTTCATCTGGGACGGCCTGCTGCCCGGGTGGGTACCTTGCCCATCAGTCGCCCTGACAGCCGTGCCTGCCTCACCCCTTCCCTGCAGCCCCTCCTGTGACTCCCCCTTCTCCCGGTGTTTGCCTCACTGTCTGTCCTCCACTGGCTCCCAGCCCCGGCCCTGGCCTGGCCTGGGGAGCCCATCCCTGGGAGGGGGGCCTCTCGCATGGAGAGGGTAGCGGAGAGGGGAAGTCTGTGAGCGGTCAGTCTCTTCCTCTCTTTGTGAAGCCGCCGGAGGGCTGCCTGGCTGGCCCCCAGCTCTCTCCCTGGAGATCCCAGGCCTCCGGCAGGAAGGAACCAGCATTGTTTACCACTGGGCCGGAGCCCTCTCCCGCTCCCGCCCTGCCCTGCCCTGCCCTGGCCTGGGTGGGGCCCGCGGGCCTGGACTCCCCTCTGCGCGACCACACCAACACCACCTCTCCGGCCCCTCAGCTCAGCCTATGACCACGTCCGCAAGACACGTGTGGCCATCAAGAAAATCAGCCCCTTCGAGCACCAGACCTACTGCCAGCGCACGCTGCGGGAGATCCAGATCCTGCTGCGCTTCCGCCACGAGAATGTCATCGGCATCCGGGACATCCTCCGGGCGCCCACGCTGGATGCCATGAGGGATGTGTATCCTTCACCTTGGCCTCGGAGCTGGGCTGGGAGAACACGGGGCTTCTTTCTGTTTCCTTCTTCCCTGTCGCCCTCCAGAGCAAACCCAGAGAGAAACCTGGCGGGAAGGCGGCCACAGGGGGCCGGAGGCTGGGCGGCCTCAGGGGAGCCTGGCCTGCTGCAGCCGGGCCGTGTGTCCGAGGACATGTCCACTCCCTCTGCCTCTGGGGGGTCTGGGCAAGATGGCCTCTACAGGCCTTTGTCTCCTGATACACAGAGGTGTGTCAGGATCCAGCCTCTGCCCCCAGCCAGTTCTTGGTTAACAGCCGGTTCTTTCCCCTCAGAGGGAGGCCAGCAGGCGAGGAGAAAGCGGCCCCTTTTCGAGGGCCTGCTCTGAGTCAGGCGCAGTGCATGCCCAGGGCTTTCCCGTTTCTAACTCTACCTCCCAACTGCCCGATGAGCTGGGTCTCAGCTCCCTTTCGTGCATCGATGAGGAAATTGAGGCTCAGAAAGCCTCTGCCACTGCCTCTGCCCCTCCCCCAGAGAAACGCCGTCCTTTCTCCAGACTTCCTGCCGGGAGGGCCCCGCCCGTCACCTGTGGCCTTGCACCTTGCCCAGGGCCCAGCCCGGCCTTCGTCGCCCTCCCCCATGTCACTTTCCTGGTTAGCTGTCCACTTCCTGCCTGGCCCTGCTGTTAGCAGCTTCTGCTACCCATCACCTCTCCCCCACTCACCCACCCCCAGGCAGTCCCAGTTCTCCACCCAAGCGGGGGATCATGCCTGCAGGCCCCCACCGCAGACTGCGGCTGGAAGCCTCCGCACTCCCCCCAGCTCGCCGTGTGACCTTCAGCATCTTCATCGATAAAACAGGGCTGGCCCATACATCCCCAGGGGCCCTTTGAGGCTGATGCTAAAAGATAGTCCTTCTTCTTGTAGAGACAAGCCAAGAGGCGTTTATGTATGTATGTATGCATGCATGCATGCAAGTTTAATCTTAAAACCTATAAGGACACGTACTCCCCTATCTTCTGATGCACGGCCACGCACCGAGTAGGAGCGTGCTGCTGGCTTTCTCCTCATTTGTCTTGAACACACTATCGCCGTAAGGTAGGCATTTCTTTTTAAGAAACATTTATTGCATGCCAGATGGTATTCGCACATTATCTCATGTAACCCCTCTCAACAGCCATGTGGCTCAGGCATTTCTCATAGCAACACGAGTCCTTGTTTGCTGAGCACTCACCGTGTGCCAAGCACCGGGCTGGCTTCTTCACAGGGGTCATCTCATCTCATTGTCACACCCACTCAGAAAGAACCATTCTCCTGCTTTTCAGATGAGGAAATAGAGGTGCGGACAGGTTGAGGTGGTAAAACCACTAGCAGATTAACCCCAAAGCTGCTGTTCTTTTTTGTTTCTTGAAAGATATATATTTTTTGACAGAACCAGTTTGGCTCAGTGGACAGAGCGTCAGCCTTCGGACTGAAGTGTCCCGGGTTAGATTCCGGTCAGGGGCATGTACCTTGGTTGCGGGCACATCCCCAGTGGGGAGTGTGCAGAAGGCAGCTGATCAATGTTTCTGATTCTCTGTCCCTCTCTCTTCCTCTCTATGAAAAGTCAGTAAAGTATATTAAAAAAAAAAAAAAAAAAAAAGATGTATTTTTATTGATTTCAGAGAGGAAGGGAGAGGGAGAGAGAGATAGAAACACCAATGATGACAGAGAATCATTGCTTGGCGGCCTCCTGCACACCCCACACTAAGGACCAAGCCCACAACCTAGGCGTGTGCCCTTGACCAGAATCGAACCCAGGACCCTTCAGTCCATAGGCCAACACCCTATCCACTGAGCCAAACTGGCCAGGGCCAGAGCTGCTGCTCTTAACTGGAGTTCTCCTGCCTCCTGCAGAACCGAAGTGCTTTGCTCAGGGTCACCAGCTGAGACGCAGCAGAGGCCCCAAGCCCAATGCTGAGCCAGGGCCCTGCCCAGCTTGTGAGAGGGGTTGGCAGATCTGTTGAGTCTTAGGGGTGCCAGCTGGAGGGGGTGCGAAGCCTGGCCACCAGAGCTCGTTCTTCTTAACCACGTGCCTCCTGCTGCCCCCACCCGCGGGGCCTCCCATACCACCCTCAGCTACATCGTGCAGGACCTGATGGAGACAGACCTGTACAAGTTGCTCAAAAGCCAGCAGCTGAGCAACGACCACGTCTGCTACTTCCTCTACCAGATCCTGCGGGGCCTCAAGTACATCCACTCGGCCAATGTGCTGCACCGGGACTTAAAGCCCTCCAACCTGCTCATCAACACCACCTGCGACCTTAAGGTCAGGGCTGGGGTGCCCGCTCCTCCTCCCCCCCCCAGGGCCTGGGCTTCCGTCTGACCGCTGGCCCCCTGGGGTAGGCGGGCACTGCAGGCAGAGGGAGCCGCAGGGGCAGGGAGGGGCATGGCGAAATGGCTGCTTGGGCGTGGAGACCTTGAGCACCACGCTTAGCAGCCGGGGTTGGATTCCAGATCTGCGATTTTGGCCTGGCCCGGATCGCGGACCCTGAGCATGACCACACCGGCTTCCTGACAGAATACGTGGCCACGCGCTGGTACCGGGCCCCAGAGATCATGCTTAACTCCAAGGTAGGGGGCCCACCCACCCCCAAAGGGAAAGGCCAGGTCCCAGAAAGCCCTGGAGCCACCTCTGAGCCAGGCAGTGACCCCCTGGTCCTTGGGATCTGGGAAGAGGGGGGGGGGGAGGTTGGCCCAGACAACAGGGCCCTGGTGAGGCTGGCCCGGGACCCACCACTTTCTCCCCGTCCCCAGGGCTACACCAAGTCCATCGACATCTGGTCTGTGGGCTGCATTCTGGCTGAAATGCTCTCCAACCGGCCCATCTTCCCTGGCAAGCACTACCTGGACCAGCTCAACCACATTCTGGGTGAGGGGCCTGGCCCGCCACATGGCAGTGAGATTAGCCTGCTGGAAGGGAGATTTCTCTTGGGTCAGGGTCGGGAGTCTGGGAGTCGGATCAGGAGTACCACCACCGTAGGAGCCTCTACTACAGCATCGCACAGGATTTCAGTGACGGATAAATACTATCCCGTTAACACCCGGGGAGAGCAGGGCCGCGGCCCACGCGTAGGAAGCGCTGGAGCTGAGATCTGAACTGAGGGCTGCCCGAGTCCAGACCCCCTGCTCCACCATCACAGCGTTGGCTGGAGATAACTGTCAGGCATGGGATGGGTTGGTGGGAGCTCCTGTTCTTGGCTCCTCCTGCTCCCAGAGGGGAGAGAAGGTCTCTCACCAGGTCACCTGCCCTGCCCACAGGCATCCTGGGCTCCCCATCCCTCGAGGACCTGAACTGCATCATCAACATGAAGGCCCGGAACTACCTGCAGTCTCTGCCTTCCAAGACCAAGGTGGGCTGGGCCAAGCTGTTCCCCAAGTCCGACTCCAAAGGTGAGGGGGACATGCGGCTGACGGGGGGTAAAGGCGGGTGCGTGAGCCCGGCAGCTACCCTAGCCTTCCCTTTGACCCCCGGTTCCTGCCCTTCCTTAGCCCTTGACCTGCTGGACCGGATGTTGACCTTTAACCCCAACAAACGGATCACCGTGGAAGAAGCGCTGGCGCACCCCTACTTGGAGCAGTACTACGACCCGACAGACGAGGTGGGTCAGCCGCCGGCAGGCCTGGGGGTGAGTGGTGGGTGGGCATCCCTCGGTCTCCGGCCTGAGCCTCGCATCCCTGCCACCCCAGCCGGTGGCCGAGGAACCTTTCACCTTTGACATGGAGCTGGATGACCTGCCCAAGGAGCGGCTGAAGGAGCTCATATTCCAGGAGACAGCCCGCTTCCAGCCTGGCGTGCTGGAGGCCACCTAACCTGCACAGACGCCTCTGCTCCCCGGGGCTGGGTGAGTGCGCCCCGCCGCCCACACGCTGATTCACCCCGAGACCAGGGTGCCTACCAAACATCCGGTGCAGTCAAAGCTCGCTCATGCCCATGGTCCATGTGTACCGAGCAGCAGGAGGGCCAGAGACTGCCCAGGCCGCAGGCCTGTGGTCTGCCAGGCTTCACGCCCCTCCTTCTCCCCCGCCCCCCCGCCCCAAGTGTCTCCCATCAGCCAACACCCTGCTGCCTCCAGCCCCAGGGGTCCCTGAGGGCCCCTCGCACCATCTGAGGACCCTGGCCAGGTTCTGCCCCTCCCAGATGGACAGAGAGGCAGGTGGGGCCGCAGTTGCTTTGGGAGGAGCTGGCAGGTCTCAGCTGACCCAGATACCAGGCTTTCTCACACCTGGCACCCAGGTCAGCAGTTCACCCACCTTCGGGGGACTCTCACCCACACCTCTCTTCCCTCCTTCGTCACCTCCGGTCTTTCTGCCAGCTGGAACCCGAGGGAGGGCGGGCAGACACACCTGCGCTCAAACCCTGGCTCTGACACGTAGTAAGAGCTGTGTAAGGTGTTGTGCAAGGCACCCCACTTCTGCAGCTCCGTTTCCTGGGGACCGCCCTGATAATGAGAGCAAACAGGGAGCACCGCGCATTATTCTAGATGTTTCTGGGTAGGAGCTCATGGCATCCTCACAGCAGGGCCGTGAGACCGGCACTCCTGTTCCCCGCGATGAGGAAACAGGCACGTCTCCCTCGGCTGTCAGGACGGAATGAAACGGGGTGAGGTCAGAGCTCCGGCAGGGGCTCTCCCGGTGCTAATGGTTCCTCTCCTGCTGCCTTTTCGTTTAGGCCCTGCCTCCTGTCTGCCCTCCCCTGCTGGACTGTTAGAAAACGGACCCTGAGCCCAGCCCGGACCCCCGCAGCCCAGGTCGGGGCACAGGGCGGGCCTGGCCATCTTCCCTCGCTTCGCTCAGGCCTCCTGCTTCCCGCAGGCCAAGGCACCCCCCCTCCCTCTCCCCTCCTCCAGGACCTGTGGCTCAGGTGGCCCCAAAGCAAATCCCCCTCGGCAGCTCTGCCTTCTCCCCCGGCTCCCCCAGTCTCCGGCGGCTCCAGAATCGAAGGCCTCTGGAGCCCTGTGACCTCCGGAGGGACGGTGGGGTTAGGGCACACTGAGTCGGGACTCAGGGCCAGCCATGCCCCACTCGCCTCACTCAAACCCCACCTCTTTCCCCTCAAGGAACATTCCTAAGGCTCAAGGGCTAGTATCCTTGAGGAGCAGGGCCCTGCCCAAGCCCCCTGCCCCCGAGCTGCCACCTCTAACTCCTGCTGCTTCTGTGTGTGGTGAGGAGAAGTGGAGGCGGGGCCGGAGCCCGAGCCTGCCCGCCTGTGCCTGTGTCTAATATATAAATACAGAGATGTGTCTATGACGGCCCCGGCTCTGTCTGTGTTTGCCCACGCGTGTCCCTCGCCTCTGAGGACGGGCACTCCCGCCAGCCGCCTCCCGCGGTGGCTGTACCCAGCTCTGGCCCCGAGGGCTCCCCCATGGCCAGGGCTGGAGAGGGGAGTGTGAGAAGCTCCGCCTCCTGGACAGAGGGGCATCCATTTCCCCCTTAGCCGCCGTCCTCTCCCCTCTCCGACGTCTTCCTGACCAGCTGGGGCGATCGGGGGTGACTCCGGCACCCCACACCCCCCTGGATCTTCTAGAATGGCAAGGGATGGTACCCCCAGCCATGTGCCCAATGGTAGGGGGATAAGGGGGTGATAGCAGCCGTGTGGGGGAACCTGGCTCCCCAGGGCTGTCGAGCAGAGAGGGCGCTGGGATCTGTGAGGGTCCGGGGGGTGAGGGCCAGGGCCACTTGGCCTCGCCATGCACCTGAGCTCCATCCAGCTGGGCCCTGCAGCCTGGCTCTGGGCCAGCAGCAGGCTGAGCAAGTCGCAGGGGCGTGGTGGTGACCAGTGGAGGAATCAGCCTACATTAGCCAGGCAGTCGCAAGGCGGCACAGTTCACTGGCGACAGCTGAGCCGGCGACAGCTGAGCCGGTGGCAGCCGGATCGGAGCCAGGAGGCCACGACCATGAGCTCCGTGCTGTACTATGCCCTGCCCGCCCTGGGCAGCTACACCTTGCTCTCCATCTTCCTCCTTCGCCGGCCGCGCCTGCTGCACCCGCCCCGGGCTCCGGCCTTCCGCCCCCGCCTGGGGGCTCACCGGGGAGGTGAGCCCGGGGAGGGGGGGGTGTGGGCCTCTGAGGGTGCACTAGGGAGAGCCAAGGTGGACAGCAGAGGGGGGAGGGCTAAGGGGCCAGATGTCAGAAAGAGGGCAGCCCGAGGAGGAGGAGGGCAGATGGCGGGGCGATGTGGGACGAGGAAAGAGGCTGCCCACCTGGGCTGATGGGTGACGAGACAGGGCCAGGGGAGAGGACAGGGCCCAGCCCCAGGACCCACCGCGCTGCCCCACACAGGGTCGGGAGAGAGGCTGGAGAACACCATGGAGGCCATGGAGAAGTGAGTGCGCCCGCCCTCCCCCTCCCCCCCGCTGAGCTGCGAGGCTGTGCCCCCTGGTGCCCAGGGTGCCGCGCGCTTCCTCACCTGGGTGACTGGAGCCCCGGAGGCATCGCGCCGCCCGCACAGCCCGCTTCCACTTGCCCCGCGCTCCCCTGGACCTCCCCGCCACCCTGTGCCCACGGCCCACTGACCTTTGCGCCCTCAGCGCCATGGCCCAGCGCTCGGACCTCCTGGAGCTGGACTGTCAGCTGACCCGGGATGGCGTGGTGGTGGTGTCGCACGACGAGAACCTGTCCCGCCAGTCAGGCGTGAACAGGGATGTGAGCAGCCTAGCGTTTGAGGTGGGCCTTGCCCTAGCCCCCCCTTACCCAGAGAGCCCCCACATGCCCTCCTGGTGACATGCCCCTGCCCCCTCAGGAGCTGCCCCTCTACAAGGAGGAGCTGGAGGTTTACTTCTCGCCGGGTAAGAGCACGGTGTGAGCCCGGGGCTGGGCCAGCGAGCGGGGTCAGGGCCCCAGCCTCTGCCCTCTCTTCTCCTCCGGCACCTGCCCCCTTCCCTGGGTTCCCGCCCGCCAAGCCTCCTCTGGCCTCTCCCGTCACCCCGCAGGCCACTTTGCACACGGGTCGGACAGGCAGATGGTGCGTCTGGAGGACATTTTCCAGAGGTTCCCTCGGGTGCCCGTGAGTGTGGAGGTCAAAGAGGAAAACGAGCAGCTCATTCACAAGGTGGCGCTGTGGGCAGGGCGGGGAGGGCCCGGCCTGGGAGAGGCCCGACTCACTCCCTTCCATCTCCTCCCTCCCCCTGCAGATAGCCAGCCTGGTGAGGCACTTTGACCGCAATGAAATCACCATCTGGGCCTCGGAGAAGAGCTCGATCATGAAGAAGTGCAAGGCCGCGGTGAGTCCCTTTCCCTCCGGCTCCTGCAGCCCCTCCTCCCAGCGGCTGGAGCCCGCCCCTCCTGCCGGCCTAGGCTAGTGGGCGGCCTGGGGGTTCTGGGGGACTTGGAGAGGTGAGCTGTGGAGGAAGTATGTGGCCAAGCCAGGTCCTGCTGCTGGCACAGGGAGGCTGCATTTAGGCCCTGAGTGCTGGGCCGAGATGTGGCTTTGATCCCGCAGATAATAGGGTTTCTTGATGTTCCAAAGCTATGTCCCCTGCAGCCCAAACCTCTCTGCTTCCCCCGGAGCAGACTGACTGCTCTCACCCCCTCTCCTTGCCTCCCAGAACCCCGATATGCCACTCTCCTTCACGAGATGGCGCGCCATCCGGCTGTTGCTGCTGTACTACCTGGGGCTGCTGCCCTTCATCCCCATCCCTGAGAAGTTCCTCCTGTGCTTCCTGCCCACCATCATCAACAGGTGCCCACAGGGTCCCCCTGCCCCTCTCCACCCTCCCCCAGGCTGCCAGCTGCTTCTGTCCTTGGGAAAACACCCCACCCCCCATCCCAAGCCCCATTTTGTGGGGTCCCCGGCCGCCTTCCGGGTAACCCCCACAGTACTTTAAGACAAGGGTTCTCACAGCGTTCATGAATACCAAGAGGACCGGGAACCCTGTGAAATTCTATGCAAATGCACTAGGCTGTAGGTGTGGATGGGGCTTTGGAACAAAAGGTTCATGTACTCGTCCATTCACCCAACTGGTATTTATCGAATGCCTGCTCTGTTCCAGGTGCAGCCACACTAGTAATCAAGCAGGGTGGGTGGGGCAAGGCCCTCCATTTACTGTCCTGGCTCAGAGACACGTGTTAATGACAGCATCACTCTGATCCTCAAAAGGAAAAGCAAGTGTTTTCCTGGGGGGGAAACAAGGATTAACAAAGTAACATCTGGGGAAAGGATGGGGAATTCGGATACTCCGCCAGCTCTGGGGCCCCGCCCCCTGCTGTTGGAGAGCTTTCCCGCCTGGCCCAGTGCTGTCTGCTGCCCCCTGTTGTCATGAGAAGCTCCCAGCCAGCCCCCACAATCCTTTGCTACAAAGACATCTTTATACGACAGAACTCTGTGTGTAGCGTTTTTATACAGATGGACAGTGTTTCCACATCCCTCAGTTAGCTGAGCTGTACTCTGCAGCACCCCGGGGGGTACAGGAGTCATGACCCCACAGAACATGGGGAATCTGAGGCTCAGAGCTTCTGTAACTTGCCCGAGGTGATCCAGCTAGAAGTCCAGAGCCTGGCTTGCCCCGGGTCCGACTCCAAAGCCTGGGAAGGGCCTCGAGGGCCGCCCCAGGAGTGGGACAAGCAGGGCGAGCAGCCGGCCCATCAGACGCTGTCTGTGCTCAGGAGGCTGTCAGGCCCAGCGGGGAGGACCCCAGACTGTGTGTCCAGCGTGGGATTCAAGCTGGGTTTCAGGCCTGGCCCCACCAGACTTGCAGGTGACCTCGGGCAAGTTAATAAAAGTCTCCAAGACTTAGTTTCCCTTCTGAAAAGCTGAGGGGTGGGCACACCCTCAACGCATGGAGTCAAGGAGGCAGGAGGAGGCTCTCGCTGAACAAAGGGTGAATTGTCTGTCTGGGCAACTGCAAAGGTTCTTTTTATTATGATTATTTTGTATTTCAGAGAGGAAGGGAGAGAGAGAAACATCAATGATGAGAATCACTGATCAGCTGCCTCCTGCACGCCCCCTACTGGGGATCGAGGCCATAACCCGGGGAATGTGCCCTTGACCGGAATTGAACCCGGGACCCTTCAAAAAAGTCCACAGAGCCAAACTGGCCAGGGCTGCAAAGGTCCTCTCAGAGGGGGCAGGTTTCACTGGTCAGGGATCACGACCACCCCCAGTCTCCACCCCGTGACGGAGTGACCCATGGACCCCCCCTTCTCCGCAGGACCTACTTCCCGTTCTCCTCCTCTGCGCTGAACCGGCTGTCAGCCACGGTTACTAAATGGTAGGTGGGCCAGAAGGCTGGGTGGAGTGTCCCGGAGACCTGCCTCTGCCCTTCTCCTCAGTCCCCCCATCTTGACCTTTGCCCCCCCCCCGCCCCCCACAGGCTCATCATGAGGAAAAGTCTGATCCAACACCTGGAGCAGCGAGGAGTGCAGGTGAGGCTTCTCTGGCACAGCTCCGGTCACCGCTCTGCCCTGACCAGCTGGCGCCCTGGGCAGGTCACCCTCAGAGCCTCGGTGTCCTCACTGTAAACGGGCTAATGACAGAGTTGGCTCCTCTGGATGTGCACCTGGTACTTAGCAAGCGCTTGGTAAGCGCTGGCCATTCTGGTGATGTGCCGAGCTACCCTGACCCCCGAGGAAGGGCTGGGCACAGGCCACCTCCTCCCGCTCCCAAGCTCCCGCTCTGACCAGGTCATTTAATTGGCAAACCTCTGCTGAGCATATATCCCGGACACCATGGCACTGAGTGGGGCGTTTACCGGGCAAAGCTGGGAACGGAAGCAGGCCATCACCATCACAGGGAAGGAAAAGGGAAGGCAGAAAGGGAGGGTGCGGTGGCCTGTGGGGTCAGAGGCCTCGGGGAGCAGAGAGGCGCTGGCTCGGGGGCGGACAAGGAGAGCACAGGCGGGAGGCCCTGTGGGAAGGCCCAGGGGAGCTAGAGGCTGGCAGTCTGAGAGACAGAGGGCCACTGTGGCAGCCTGGAAGCCAGCCTGGAGGAAGCGGCACCAGGGAGGCTGGAGAAGGCAGGCAGCTGAAGGACCTCAAGCCAGGGACCTCCGCAAGGAGCCTGGGCTTCTGCCCAAAGGGAGGGGAAGCTTTGGAGGGAAGAGACCATTGAGATTTGCTGAGGGAGGGCCCCCGTGGGAGCAGTCTCAGGAGGAGGCAGATGCTGTCACGGTCAGGATTTGGGCTCATGTGCTAACAGTGGGGATGGGTGGAAGAGTGGAGTCACAGACAAGCCACTGACTAGATGGAGGCAGTGAGGATGAGCCCTCCCACTCCTTGGCGCTTCACTGCGACGCAAGGAGGCTGGACCTCA